TTGTATGTGCTTGTCAGCTTACCAAATCCTAAACTGTACAACTGACCTTGTCAACACCCTGTGAGCTTCGTTATTACTTGTCGATCACCTGTAAAATCCTGTCAAACTTGTCAAAATGACCGGTTAGATTCGGAAAAAAGAGGGAGAAATGAGTGCGAGTGACGCTAGTACCAATTCGTCAAGTTTGACAGGAATTCACAAGGTGCTTGACAGAAATTTATAGGAATTGCAAGGTGAGACACGATTGTGAGAAGACAACACACACTGGCAAGCGTTTAAATGGGACAAGACAATCGTAATTTGTCGTGTCGCTGTGCGCGGCGAATTCGGTGAGTTTGTCGATTGGAGCAGCGAAATTCATAGGAATTCGAGCAAACGAAGAACAAACGATATAAACATACTAAAAAAGACAAGGTTCCATAATGAGCGATATCGATTTTCTCATGCCTTTGACACTGAAGCGGACAGGCAGGAGAACTCGTCTGTCTCAAAAGCGGCTCTCCACGCCCACCAGCTCGGAATATTACGATTGTCTTGTCACATACGAAAACGTGGACTTACTGCTACTTCGCTAAAACCCATGTAATTTTTCAATTTCGACGTCATTTAGTTACACTGCCGGCCAGTTGTCTTACGACTCACCGTCGTTAACGTCTAGTGTGGTGATTGTTATCTTAGCGTGTATTGCCGCAATGCTCGTCTGTTTCGTCTGCCTCGCTATCATGTATAGGTGAGGATTTTTCATTTATTTTGGCATTTTACTGCTCTAACGAAGTGTTGTGAGTTCCCTCCTGGTTTTGAAATTTCTAATGTATAGGTGAGAATTTTTTATTTATTTTGGCATTTCAGTGCTCCAATGAATGGTGGTGAATTCCCTCATGAATGTGACATTTCGAATTTAAACTTCTTGAACTTGAGAAGTTCCCTTTTTTTCCAGGAGGAAAACGAACTCACATCGAGACAGATGAAGTATCTGAAGACTCAGATGGATACCATTGAAATGAAGGTGATTGTTTTGTGTTGTTTTTCACATTGGATTTATTTGTTGACACTCCGCTGAAAGTGAGCTTCCGAACTCAGAAAAGTATCGAGCGAATTATTTCCGTGTTCTTGCTGTTTTTCGTTTTATACTGAAAACTGATTGGTTTTCTGGCGTTGGTTTCTGCGTTCACCGTATGGGCGGAGTCACTTGCACCGGCACTAGACTTTCTTATTCGTTCTGCTCCTTCCCTTTGTACAAGCGCCCTTCCCATCGATGATCTTTCTCTTAGAGGGAGGGGCATCGATTAGAAGGGCGCTTTTGCCCAAGTGTCTCCGCCCATACGACCAACGGAGAATGTACTATTTACAATAACCTGAAATTAATTGTGTGAAAAATTATTCAGCGGGTTTTTTCAGGTAGCCACCGAGTGTAAAGAGGCATTCGCTGAGCTTCAAACTTCTCTAAATCAGTACACAGCCGATCTGCCATTAGGAACACCCATAGTGCCATTTTTGGAATACAAGGATTATTGTGCGAGGGTAATACTTGTTTCTAATCATTTTTTTCATTTTTTTCTGATTTTTTTCTTCCTCAAAAAAGTGCTGTATAGGTGCTATTCCCCAACAATCCGCACAATCATCCTGTTCTTCGCGATCTCGAAGGTGGATAGCCAAAAGGCAGGTGCGATCGAAGCTGGTCTACGGGAATTCCATAAGTTGCTGATGAATAAGGTGAGTTCTCCTTGTCTTGAAACGGCAGCCTACGCTGATTACGTGGGCGTGGTCGGGCCTAGTATTGTGTTTCCCATGATATGATCATTGATGTGTCTTTCCTGTCAACGCGGCAGCGATAAAGAGCGCATCAGTGAGAAAGTCACAGTAGTAGGCCCGCTTCCGAATGTAGGATCGGCGTAATTGTGCCACTAAAGATTTTCCACCAATTTAAAATTTTCCAGTCAAATTTCAAAATTTATTAAGCTAATCCCTATTTTCAGACATTTCTTCCTGACGATGGTGCGAACGATGGAATCAAACAAGTACTTCCTCGGAAAGGATCGTGTTTACGTTGGCTCGTTGGTGATGGTGGTGCTTCAGGTATCTTGTGAACCGCTTTTCAATCAATATGCAGATTTTTCATTATAATTTTTTTGCTTCAGGAGAAGATGGGCTACTGTACGGAGATGTTGAAGCAGCTGTTACGTGAACTGATTGATCGAACGGTGGAGAAGAAGTTTCAGCCGAAAATCCTCTTCCGACGTAGTGAAAGTGTGGCCGAGCGTATGCTGGCGGCATGGTTCACCTTCCTTATGCACGACTATTTGAGGGTTAGTCAACAGTTGCGAGGGAGACGAGGAGCCATGGAGGAAGGGTAAATGGAAGTTTAGGGCTTTCTCATAATCGCTCAATTACAGAATTACGCCGGCAAACGTCTCTACGACCTGTATTGGGGCAGCTGGGCGCTAAAATGCTAGTAGGGAGCTATATAGTGGGGAAAATGGCGAAAGAACGGAGTGAAACGGTCAAAATCCTGCGAAGAAAGAGCCTCCGTTCTCAATGTGTTAAAAATCAATTTTGGACGAGTTTCCTGTAGGCATCTTGCCAATCACCGCTACCGAAGGTACGGCTGCATATGTGTAATCATATATCCAGGCAGCAATCAGAGGCGGGGGGCCGCTTCATCCGCACATTCCCTTCGCTTCATAATTTGCTTAGCAAATGAATCGATTAGAGCGTCAGGAACGGTCGTCCATTTGTGGGCGGGCGTTTGGGTCGTAATGTTGTGGCTTGATAGGGCCCTTATAAGGGCACCTCCCTTGGAAAAGGCATTATGCAGCGCCTGCTCAGGTCGCGGAATTCCGTCCTGCCAGGCGTATTAATCCTACTCGTCTTGGGGGATTTATCGTGCCAACTGCCTTCAGGTAAGGCAGTGAAACTTAGTGAGGCAACATGGTTCTGCTGGCGGCGGGATTATTGCGCAGTTGATTTGTCGAGCTGCGAAAAGGCGTTCGTATAAGCACGGCTCATTCGGCCTTCCTCCAGTGCCGTTGGCCGTAACGCCGGCTGCCCTAGGTATCGTGCCCCCGCCTTGGAAAGGTTTTTGAGATTGAGATTAAAGGGTTCACGCGGCGACGCGCTATGCCCGTCATGGCTCATCTATCTTGTTTACGCCCTTTTCGACAGCCAGTTGGGTTTCATAAAGTGTTTGTTCGTTGCGGAAGCTGGAGTGTTTCAGGTCAGGGGGAGGGGATAGAGAAGGGACCGGGTTTGGCGCGGCGCCAGTTCGGCCTCTGCCTGTTGCTGAAGTTGTTGAAGCGTGCAAGGCAGGCAAGGCAACAGATGCTGGAAAACGGGCTGGCGCTAGTTCATAAGGCTGCGTTTATACTTTGCGGCAGCGTAGCGCTTCCAGCGTACGCCAGCGGCAGTGCCGGGGAGAGGATGCACCAGGACACGCTAGTGTAAAGAGATCAGCCCGTGAGCGCTCGGCGCTGAGACCAGCTTAAAAGAATAACGAATATAGACCAACAATCACAACTCTCCCCGGCACTGCGCTGGCGCTACTGCCTGGAAGGCGCTACGCTACGCTCCGCAAAGTATAAACGCAGCTAAGTGTGACGCACAAGTTTGTGAATGAAGGCAGTCCAGCTCGCTCCGTTCTCTCCCTTTGATGGAAGCGAGCTGGCGCCGCCGCCAAACACAGCGCTCTCGGATGATAACGCCTCAGCATCCGCTACAGCGAGACTGCACTCCACTTTCAGTTGAGAAAACGCGACAGCAGACATGAACTGAAAATGAATCGCCCGCCCGCGCTCGTTTGACTACCTTTGCCGTTTTTTTTTTTCGTTTTTTCATTATTACCAGTTTTCAGAGTGGGTCTAAATCTTGCGGCGCTTTTTTTTAAATTCGAAAGCACTGGTAGCACCCTGCCAGTTTTTTGTGGTTATGGCTACTGACTGTGGAAGTCGATATGGATGAACCAATTACTGCGTGATTGTACGGGGGGGAGGAGGGTAGGTGGGAAGGGAACAGAAAGTGGGGACGAATCGATGTCAAAAAATAATTGTTTATTCTAACTCATTCGATCCCCACTGTATCCCCATTTGAAGTTCATAAGTCTACAGTATTTAAAGACAGCTCCCGCGATAAAAGTGTCAAGGATAATTGCTGATCAATTATGAAACAGTAGCTGATAAGTAATTCCTCAATGAAGGAAAAAGAAACAAGAGCCCTCAAGAACACCATAAACAAAATCGCGACCACACCTCCCTTGCGGTCGTCTGTGCTAGCCTGGCTCAGCAAATCACTTGTCACATCTCCCAGTAGGCGGATATCAATGCGATGCGAAAGAAAAGAAAAACAAACAACAGGCAGCTTAGGAAAAACTCTTGAAAAGAAAAGGAAACATTTAAAAAGCCGGCGTCCGAACTTAGGGTTACGGTAGCGAGCATGTTTTAGTGTAGTGAAGTGCGTCGAGCTTTTGCACCAACAGAAATTGCATCATTGATGTTTACGCAGTTTATATTTACCCTTACGGACAATGGGTTGCTGTTGACTGTACGTGCTCCCAATGAATAAAATGTGATGAAGGAGAGCAGAATTATTTACGAGCACGAGCGCGGTCAGCAAAAAATACATGCAGTTCCGATTAATGAAAAATACATGCAGTTCCGATTAATGACTGCCGTCCCAACAAGGAACAACTGAGCGGCTCTCCGTCAGAGGGCAGCTAGCTAGTGAGGCGGTCCAACTGAGCAGGCGTTAGAACTAGAACTTTGAGCGGTTCTAGCTCGCTTCTCGCTCGCTGAGGAGTCGCGAGAGTGAGATAGTATCTAGCTTGGGGGCTGAACTACCTGCCCAAGGAAGGACGACCATGTACTACTTGAGCGCGGGGGCTGTCTTTAACTAAGAGCAGCCTCGCTGCTCCTTTCTAAGTCACATTGTTTCGGTTTTACATTTTGTTATAAGTAAAGCTTTCTGTTATCGATAAGGGCAAATGAACACCTGCTAATTTTTGTGAGGATCGCACGTACCAATCGACTGACCTGCGAGCTCTTCCTCCAACCGCTTAGATGACGCATTTGAGGGTTCACAGGATGACGCACCCGCTTAACCCAAATTCTCGTCACATGAGATCTTGTAGTGAGAAGAACCTTGTGAGGTTGAATAATGCACGTATGCGTAGCGTACGAAGTCAAGGTAGTCGCCGCGAAACCGCGCGCGTGTATGCTATACTATTCGGAAGTTTAGCTAGTGTATAATTGTACATTGCCAAAGTAATGAGGCACTTTAGGAATGTCTTAAACCGTAAGTAACGCTTAGGTAGTCTTAAAGGCGCATCCGACAATGAGAACTAGACAACCTTCTTACTGCTTTTGCTCTGGGACATTTTCACGGGATTAGTGCTTGGCTGGTCTGCGCACTGGCAGAGAATGACATGGCATGATTCGCCCCACTGGGACCAGCAAGACTTCAGACTTGGCATGTTGCAGCCAGTGGTTGTAGTGAATACAGATCAGTCACTAATAATCTAAGATGATTGTCAGTTATTCTCTGTCGGCAGGGAGAAGCCTTTGATTACGTGCAAACGTGCGAGTACAAAGAGTTGACGATATTCATTGCTGCCGATTCGATGAACTACACTCAACCAGATATGCCCGTTCGAGTCTTGGACTGTGATACCATTACGCAGGTGAAATCGCTTTTACGTTAGAAACCCTGATCATCTACTTGATTTTACGTTTTAAAAAGTATAAACTTAAGCTAAATTAACTAAAATCTAGTCTTTGAAGAGAACAGGCTGCGTACAGTTGATTTGAAGGGTGGCTTCGTTCGTCCATTCGGACTTGGAGGAGGCATTTTGCCCTTTCGCTACATCTTTTTATTAGCTCATTTCAGAACAGGTCTCATTTTGGTGAAACCTGTAAACTCCTGCCTACCGCGAAATGTGCGAGCGAGCCACTTCGCAGGAATTCACAAGTTTTCACATGGTGGCCCGTACTTCAGCCAAATACCATCCGATGCCCCCTTTCTCTGCACCCCCAAGCCGAACTGCGCAGGTTTTTTCGAAGCCAGCGGTCAAAGTATGGATTTATTTGATTGTATCGTTAGGGTCGAAAGCCAGTTGAACTGTACGGAGCCTTCTATTAGCGCGAATTTATGAGGCTTGGCTAGATTTATGGCCGCTACGTGTCTGGAACCGTTTCGCAAGTGATGAGCGACATGTGTTGATGGGATGAAACTAATCGAGTGTTTTTGACGGGGATCTCTGCAAAAACTTGGCATTTCAATGAAATTCGAGTGTGTGGCAGTGTAACGTCAATATTGCGCGCCTAACGGGTTGCTGGACGTTCTTGAGAGAGGTGAAGAGGTAAAATATAATGTTTCGAAAGTGCTCTATCCAGGGCACGCCATCGTTATGATCATCTCAACGGGGGAGTCGTATTTGACCGCGAGGGAGGGGGTCGTAATTGGTCTAAGAAAAATTTCTTTGGTAGTTGACATTCTTTTGTTTAGCAGGCGTGTAAAGGGTGGGGTCGTATTTGGGTACCTGGCCGTTGTTGTGGGAGGGACTGCCAAAGATCTATACAACTACTATTTCCGACCGTTGAAAATGATAGTTTAACCCTGACGACCTTCACGCCCCCCCTCAGCTCGACAGCAAAATTTTGGGGAACAATCAGAAGGAAATGTCCGCGGCAAAAACTTGTTAGGAGTGGGAGGATCTGAGAACTTTCCTGTTTCATATGGGGTTTCATTCCGCCTCTTCCCCCGCCCCCCCCCCCCGAAAAAAAAATGGAAAAAGTGGAAGGAGGTTAAAAGTGGTGGTAAAATCTAGGAAAGTGCTAGGTAGCATGGGGAAGAGGGTCGTATTTGAGGACAGAATTAAGGGGAGGTCTATTTTTCAGGAAATGATCATAACGCGATAGCGTGCTCTGGCTCCATCGTTACTGAACACGTTCGCGGCAGAGTGAGTGGTTGATCTGGTTCCACGCTGGTCGTATAGGTGAGGAGTCTTTGGCGTACGCTGCGGCTTTCTTATTGATATATCTCTTCCCTCCAGATAAGAACGAGTAGAGAGGCACTTTGTGGAAGGCGCAACGGGTCCAAAATAACGTCGCCCATTCGGCCTGATCAGCGGATGTTTTTTAAGGCAGCGTTTGTTTCTGTAAATTTTGAAAGTCTCACGTCCTGGTTATTCTCTTACCAGACGAGACGGATCGTTTTTTTACAGCGATATCCATTTTGAATACTTATCCATGTTTTTCTTCGCCTTATGTACAATAGAAGGGTAATTTCCGATGATTTCCAGGTAAAGGAGAAGTGTCTCGATGCGAAATACCGTACAGTACCGTATTCGGATCGACCAAATGCAAATGACTTGGATTTGGAGTGGCGAGCGGGTATCAACGGTCGTATGGTGTTGCAGGTGGGTGCTTTGCTGTAGTGGATATTGGTAACCAGGACTCTTCATGTCACTGGTTAAAATTTCGCAAAACCCGGATCCCCCAAATTTCCTCCTTGTAAGACCCCCCCCCTCCATCCCTCCATCCGACTTTTCCCAACTTTTTGCGAAATTCCCCTCTCCTCAAAAACCGCCGTCGAACGGGTAAAAGGTGGGGGGTGTGCGGGGAAGTCGCCACCAAGCAACTACCCAACTGGGATACCGAAATCAGTAATGGTATGTATCGAACATTAACGGCGCCACCAACTGGGTGGAGGTGGTAGAGGGGGGGGGAGAGGGCGCGAGGGTCGGCTGGGAATTCCCTATTGCAATGCGGTTCTGTTGGTAAATTGGTCGACACTTGTCCATTGTTTATCTGTAGTTGTTTACTTGTTTATCTTTAACTGTTCAGGATATTGATGCTACTTCGCGTGTAGAACCAAATGGTTGGAAACGTCTGAACACGCTGTCACATTACAATGTTCCGAACAATGCCGTACTGATGTTGATCGCTAGGCAAAATTCGTTGTATAATCTTGTAAGCCTTTTGCTTTATTTTATTTTATTTATTTTTTACTTTGTCTTTTTTTTCTCTTTTCGAATCTCATCTTTTTTACCGAAGGTGCTAGGTTTGAATTCTCCTTGTTCCACGTTGACCGTTCTATTTAAATGGATCTATTGACAGGGTTAGCAGCATCGTTTGTGTGACACAGATAGGGCGTTTATTTCTTTTCGGCTGGGGAGGGGAGGTCTTAATTGATTGTTGTTGGAAGAGGGGGGGTCGTATGTGGCTTTGACAGAAATTTGCCGCGTTGGGAAAAATTTCCCGGAGTTATTTGGCTTTTCGCGTCGGTTCTGATTTTCCTGTCTCATGTGTACTCATGTCCCCCCCCCCCTTCCTCCGTGTCGAACGCGAATTTTTGGGGAGGCGGACCTTGGAAGCGGACGGGGTCGTGAAAAGCACCAAGGTCGTCTACGTCTGTTAGGGGTACGCCCTGTTAGGGGTTTCGCCTCGGTGGGATAGCGCACCCAGCGAGAGGGTCGTGTTGTCTTTGTGAAGAAGTTTTACTTTCTCGATTTTTCCGATTTCATGCGCCATATGCAACCAGTCTACTCCGCTCCCGTCCCCGTTCCACGCCAGTTTTTGGGAAAAATCTCCGATAAAGTGGTAGGAAGTTGGGAAAATTTAGAAAGATAGTAGGTAAGATGGGAGAAGGGGGACTCGTGACAGCGAAGGGAATTTGAAGACGGGTCTTATTCTGCACAAAATTCCCCCAATGGCAGGAGGTGCTCTGGTTTCACACCATCTTGAGCAGTCTGTCACATTTTTGGTGTTCCGATTTCCGAAAATAACTTTGATCGTAATAGATGAGATTTTCACAATATTGTTAATGTAATATTGTTTTATTTTATTTTCTGATCCCAATTGTATATTACCGTTTTCGTGGTCTCAGTTTTATTTATTTTTGCCTTGTTATTTATTATTTATGGTATTATCTTTTTACTTTACTGTAAGCTATCTATATGTTTAGTCGTTGTTATCTGAACGAAGTGAAAAGTCGACGTTGAGCCTGAAGAATAGCCCAACATTATCAAGACCATGGGTTGGAACGAACAGTAGCAGTAATTCCAAGGTAAGTTCTGTCAATGCTATGCTTTTAATGAGTTTTTTTTTTGTTGGTGTTGTTAATCATGGGTGAAGCGGAGGTGATGTAGTGGCAAGTGGCACGTTTACCATGCACACGGGTGGGAGTAAAATTACGGACCGGCTCCTGCCCAGGGCAGCCGAAATTTCACCCCCCCCCCGGCTTCGGCGCTGTTCGGCTTGTTGGGGATGGCAAATGGTACCTAACGGATCTAGTTCAGGCCATCTTTTTGGGACCTGTAAATTTTTTGCAATCAAAGGGGCTCCCATTTACCATTTTGC